TTGATGCCAGCCTGGTCTCCAGAGTGAGTGCCAGGATAGGCTCCAAAGCTACACAGAAAACCCTGTCTTGAAAAGCAAAACAAACAAAAAACAAACAAAAAACCACCCATATCAGACTTCATCCCTATAATGATCAATAAGGGGTATTTCATTTACAAATTTCCTCAAAACCATTTATTTAACTAACAATGCTCCAAATAAGGAGAAGAAAACTAGAAACTACCTCATTAGCTTCAATGAACTATGAAAAAAATTAATCTGAGCAAGCAAGTTATCTCTAGTGATACAATAATTTTATAGTGTATGATTCAGAGTTGGAGACATGACTCAGTGTTAGGTAATGAATCCTGCTCATGACTGGGACTCAAGTTTGATTTATAGCAGTTACTATATGGAACTATTTTTCTCCATTTCCTAGGGACTCAAATAACTCTTCTGTTATCAATATGAATCACAGTCACAGAAGTTGCAAGCATACATGGGGACAAAACACCCACACCCACAAAAAAGAAAAAAAGAAGAAAAAGAAATTTAATAGAATTTCTAATGTACATCATGTTCATAGAATATCTAATGTACATCATGAAAAAATGTTAATTCATGTTTAAAGGTATTGACAATTTAGAAACTCTTTGTTAAAAGTACTAAACACAATTAAATAATAAAAATGTATGGTTTGTGTAATTTTAATTACTCTATCATACAACAGCCTAAATATTCAACATCTGTACCCAAGATTCAGCACAAGGAAAGAAACCACTGTATGTTAATCAGTATGTTACCAAGTGAATATTTCTCACTTTACTTGAAATTACATTAAATCATTTTTACAACTGGTTTATATTCATATTTATAATAACAATCAGGATTGGCTATCATAAAGTGCACTATATGCATGTTGGAAATCCTCAGAAAATTGATAAAGTATCATATCAAAGAGTAGAAAAGGAGAAGATTAAAGTAGGGGGTTTGATATTGGTTCATAATATGAAAGTTTATTACATTAAGTATCAAGGAAACACAGATGTTCCCACCTGACAGTGTTACTGCTGTGTAATGAAAATCATTACAATTTGGTCAGACCCACCTGTCTATTTCCTGTGGCCCATTCTATCATGTCTTCATATACATGGAGCTGCTGATCTTCTGTAAGATATGGTCTATACTGTCCTATCTTCACCTTAAATCTAAGGCCATGTGGGAAATTCCAAATCTGGAAAATGTCATACTCTTCCTGAAGTTCTTCTTTTGGGTTCAAATTCACTCTGTCCCCAACAGGATTTGTGAATTGGGTCTTCTTCAGAAATGCATTCACCTGTAAGACAGACATCCTATTTGCCCTTTATTGAAGAAAAATTCTGATTTTTATCTTAAACGCAACATTATGGTAGGTGCCCAGGGGAGCCATCTCAGTGAAACTAAATGGATAAAAAGATTATAATAATGTTCCTTGATTTTACTTCCCTCATAGGAACCTGATGAACACATAAAGACACATATATGCAGACACCATACAAAGATATGCAACGCATTCATACACACAGACACACACATGAGACAGACAGACAAACTGACATCTATCCAGAGACACCACAAAATACAGCCACACGTATTTTTGCCAAACATGCATATACACACATGCCTTGAATTCCTATACATATGGAGGCAAACAAACACAGGTATGTTCATCCAAACATACATAGGAAAACACTGAAAATACATACACAGGGATTCACACATACCCAATTACATACAGAGTAAAACACACAGGAACAAACACCAACAGAGAGAAGCATTGACAAACAGAAAAATTTATCTACACATTGAGACAGACAGACAGATACACACACAGAGACAGACAAAACAATGCAGATATACATATGTGTAAGAACATAAATGGAAATGAGCACACATGCATGCATACATACATACATACATACATACATACATACATACATACATACATACATACATACATACATACATACATACATACATACATACATACATACATACATACATACATACATACATACATACATACATACATACATACATACATACATACATACATACATACATACATACATACATACATACATACATACATACATACATACATGCATACATACATGCATACATACATATATAGTCTCATGCAGACACATTCATTGCCAAGTGTACACAGGTAGATACATACAGAAAAAAAATATCCACGCAGAAATTCACAGACTAATTTGTTATCAATTACACAGGATGACAGACAAATGCTCATAGAAACCTCTATATGAAGACACACACAGAGAGATGAACAGAAAAAACAAACATGCACACAAAAAATGAGAAACCTCCAGTCACACACATTAATGAACAAGTATATACTGAACTGAATCACAGGAAAGTTGCCTGTTTAATAACTATCAGGATGCCACCGGTGTTTCCCAGAGCTGACAGTGGGGGAAGAATCAGTAGAGATCACTTATGAATATGATTCTCTACACTGTTTACAACATTCTTGATAATTAATGTACACAGACCTCATCTAATAACTGGGAGAATTCATGAGAAAGGAATGATGATGTTTACAATATTAGAACAGGGGTTATGATATTCAGATACTTAGTAACAAATTGCTGATTGTCCTTGATGCATTTTGTCATCTGCTCCATTGCCTTTGTACTAGAGATTTCTACCAAATTCTAGATGTACTCCCTCAGCAGAAAAAAATGCTAAAACAGAATTCTTTTATTGGGAATACTTCCTAGTGCACCGAGTTTGGTTACCATAAAGACTCCTAAAGATATGACATTGCTGACACCAAATATCATCCCATAGAAGAAATATTACCTTCAAGCAGCGAGAAACATGTCCTTTCCCATCGACCATGGTAGGATTTTCTACTTGTTGAAGAAACATCGCATGTAGTGCATGGGCCAGAGCATACACAGCATTGTAGATGTCATAAATACCATCACTAAAGGACATGTCAAAAGTCTGTACCACTAGCCTTTCCATGGAGTTATTCAATGAGTCGTTCATCAGTGCTTTACAGTTAGATGTGGAAGCTTCACATTTAAAGTTCATCCACTCCAGCCTTGCAAGGTATTCTTCTGTGTATTTGATAGAATTCATTTTCTGGACAAAATTTTTAAACCCGGATATTTCACCATGATGGTGTGCAAAGGCTAGAGTTATATGTGATGAGTCAAGCATGAAGTCTCTTTTACTTGTAGTCACATCCCACTGTGAGGTGATGACCCATATTCTCTGTAAACCCTGGGATGCCCACAATTGAAAGCTCACAGCAAGAGTACTGTCTGAGTCTCCATAAATGATAACAACATTTGTGGATGATTCCTTGATTTGGTTATAATACAATTCAGCTCTTGACATGTATAACTGCATGTTGATTGGAATCATATTTACAAAGGCAAAGCAGACTGTATTTTTTTCCAACTCTCTTCTCAAATATGAGAGAAATTGGGTACCCTGATCATCGTCTGAGATGACCAAGCCTACCCAGTTCCATCTGAAGTGAACTATGACAGAGGCCATGGCCAAGGTTAGAGATGTGTGCTTGGGGGCCATTTGATATAGATAGGGAAATTTTTCATGATCACTTAGGATTGGATGGAAGGGTCCATAGGTAAGCTGTATGACCTAGGATGGAGGGAGCATCATGAGGTACCATGCACTCCTAAGAACTTGTAAAGATGTGCTCCAACTTTAAGAGTATTCTCAGATTGATGACTACCTTGATTATCATTCCTGGTGCCTTCATCCAGTAGCTGATCAAAGCAGAAACAGAAGCACAAAGCTAAACACTGAGCCATATTTCTGGAATCCAGTTCCAGAGTAAGAACTGGGATGAGCAAAGGAGACAAGACCGTGCAGGAGAAACCCACAGAAACAGTTCACCTGACCTAGTAAGAGCATGGAGACTCTAGTCTTAAATCTGG